AATTGTACTATCACGTACTGTCAATAATCATTAAATTCACTATGTGTTTGTCTTGTGATATAACTTTATCATATCATAACTTTATCATAATCATTGTCGGCAACCTGACTGTGAGGAAGGGAGCCGTCCGCCTGGGGAAGAAGCGCCCAGTACCGGAGGGAAGTTTGTTGACATTTTTGTGTGTTCGTGTGTGGTGTTGATAACATTTTCAACGGACATTAACGCACAAACTACTTATCTAATTACCAGTGATAATTTCCTAGATACTCTGGAAGTCCCTGATCTATAATCTAATCTGTAATTTAATCATTAGAACTCTTATTAAAAGGAGTGAAGTCGAGCTCGAGTGCTAGGAGTTTCAAGTTTCCTCCATTGTGACCTCATCCTATCAACTGCTTCAAGAAGCCATCCCACAGCAAACGCTAACAGGGACATGACCAACATAAAGGCTGCCATATCCCAATCAAAATGTAGAGCCTCGTTTCAACAAGAGAAATATCAGCTGACAACTTGCCAGATTAGGCTCCGGTTCTCAGTTTCAGAATAAGTTATTCATTTTTTTAGAGAGTAGATTGGCCACTAGTATGCTTTATGACCTTAATACATCCATATATAAATTGAGAGTCGTTAGGCAGCAAGGAGGCAACGCCTCACCAATTAGTGAGTTGATTTACCTTCTTCAGTGACTGAATTTCTTATTGCTACATATTCATGTAAATCTGAATATCTATATCTTGAATATATAATTCTTTAGTATAACTCATCATGAATTTAATTGCCATATCCATTAATCTTAATTGATCAAATTAGTTTATTTTATTGCATATAATATTTTCTTTGCATATTGCCCATACATTATACTTGTATCATACAACTATGTTGAGAGTATCAGAACAATTGATAATTGGCTGTTACAATATTTGTAGAGCTAGGTTAAACCATGTAATTAGTTCAGATCTTTGATAATGAACCGTACCTGTGTTTACAATTATAGAACTGTAAATTATCATATTCTTGTATAAAATACAAGCTAAATGTGTTGAAATACCCGCTTAATGCACAGAAGAAAAAATAATTGAAGTAGTCTATAGATATATATTGGTCACATTTTTCAGTCCCCCAATTAAGACTAATTTTCCACCTTGAACTTGAAGAGGCTGTCGGCAAATTTGGTGTAGTCTGCCGGGTATAGCCACCTGCCGGGGTTGAGGCGGATAAGGCCATTGGTATAACCTTGGAAGTCACGCTCCTGGTGCTCCAGCTCCTCCCCCTCCAACACCTCCACTGTGTGACCACTCGCTAGCTGGGTCATCCTTAACCTAGAATATACAAGTCATGCAAGCAATGTAACCCTTCATTCATATCGTCAAGAGTTGCTGTAGAAATGTATGACCCTATCTACCTTGTGTAGCTTCCGGGGATCAACGGACTCACGGCCCGGTCTCCGACCAGGCCTTCCGGTTGGTCGTCTATTCAACCAGGATGTTGGACGCGGCTGTTCCCAGCCTGGTTGATCTGGTATCCGTTAGAATACCTGATCAATGTCATATTCTTTAGAATACCTGATCTATGTTAATCATAAAGTCATAAAATAATAATCATAGAATAAGAATAATCAACCTGATCTATTAATACTGTACCTATATTTGTTAAAACAAAAATCTCACAAGAAAGCTTAGTGAGAAAACTGTTAAGTTTAGTTCCTTTATTATACACCCCATACCCATCCTACGGGCGTTAGCGTGAAGAGTTAGTCACATAACGGGCTCCGCTAACATTTCACACTTATGTAAATACATAACATTGATATTTATACATTCTTGCAAAGCCACTAACACGGCATAGTGTTTCGGGAAGAAGCAAGTAACTGTATTTAACAGTTACTTGTTTACTATTGTTACTTGCTGTTAACTACGCTGACACTGAAAGTTCTTTCTAACGTCCCTGTGGCTCATTTGGGTACTCAGTTTCCACCTGTGTCCCCTTGTTCGCGTACCACCCGTGTTAAACAGTTTATCTTTATCTACCCTGTCAATTCCTCTGAGAATTTTGAAGGTAGTGAGCGGACAGCACGCTGGATTTGTGATCCTGTGGTCCTGGGTTCGATCCCAGGCGCCGGCGAGAAACAATGGGCAGAGTTTCTTTCACCCTATGCCCCTGTTACCTAGCAGTAAATAGGTACCTGGGTGTTAGTCAGCTGTCACGGGCTGCTTCCTGGGGGTGGAGGCCTGGTCGAGGACCGGGCCGCGGGGACACTAAAGCCCCGAAATCATCTCAAGATAACCTCAAGATATGTCTCCCCTTACTCCTCTGTCTTCCAGTGTCGTGAGGTGCATTCCCGCAGCCTTTCCTCGTAACTCATCCCATAACTAAGAGGCATGAGTTACGAGGAAAGGCTGCGGGAAATGCACCTCACGACACTGGAAGACAGAAGAGTAAAGGGAGACATGATCACTACCTACAAAATTCTCAGAGGAATTGACAGGTTTGATAAAGATAAACTGTTTAACACGGGTGGTACGCGAACAAGGGGACACAGGTGGAAACTGAGTACCCAATGAGCCACAGGGACGTTAGAAAGAACTTTTTCAGTGTCAGAGTAGTTAACAGGTGGAATGCATTAGGCAGTGATGCCTAAGTGATGAAGTTTGACTCCATACACAGTTTCAAATGTAGATACGATAGATCCCAGTAGGCTCAGGAATCTGCACACCAGTTGAGTGACAGTTGAGAGGCGGGACCAAAAAGCCAGAGTACAACTCCCCCCCCCCCCGCAAGCACAACTAGGTGAGAACACTATCACATGTTTGCCCTGCACTAAATACTTTATCTTTATACAATGAATGCCATTCCACAGTATCTATTAATAATTATCGATGTTGCTGTCCTATTAAATAACAAAAACAGTGAGATTTATTTTCCTATTATACACTTTGATGTAGATTATACAGAAATAATACTAAATTATTATTAATTTACACAGCTCTAATCACAAACCCGCTATCTGCCTCAACTTTTTCCACTACCACTCACAGTAAGATTACAGAGTACACAATACATTAAGACAATGCACGTTAACAAGGAGCTAACCACAATTATGATGGCATATACACTGACTCGTGACACAAACAATTACTCATTATTAAGAGCAACATCATGGTAGCCGTGTACTACTTACTGTGGTGCCTCACGTCTTGGTATCTTCCCTCTCCACAGCACTAAACTTGCACCTCAGCACCTCCCCGTTCCTGGCAGGCAATTACAACAGCGCGACTACCCAGCATAGCAACCACCACAGAACTGCCCGGCGAGGATGCTATCGGTCTGCTGGTCCCAACATTGCTTCATCACGGGCAAGGGTTCAAGGTCTCCCCATGTTTAGTCGATGTGACGTCATCTCCAGTCCTTAAACAAACGCAAGATAATTAGGGCTTTTTATACAACCTCTGTGCGCGGCGTTTGGTGTCAATGATGTATTACGTATTATGAGCGGATCTTCTTAGCGGTGAGGGTTGCTCTAGGGAACCCTAGAACCCCCCTGTCCGCCCACAAACACCAGCAGTTTGTGGGCGGATCATACGCGGTCTCATCGCCAAAAATACAACCTCGTTACTACGATGTTGTTGGTCCAACCACACCTGATGCATACGAAGTTTAAGTATTTTTATGTACAAGGTAACGATATATAAAATCACTTACTCTAAGAGTTTAAAACCAACTTTACGAGTTGGTTACTAAATCAATGTTGTAATCAAACTGACAATTATTAACACGAATTTCTCTATAACAAATAAGTTTTTGAAAATAATAATTATTTTGAACCCTTGTGATTGTTAACAATAATTCAGATATAAAATTATTAAAATAACAACGTAAATTATTAAATAACGTAAAATATTGAGTAAAGTTTTAGTTACTAGAAGTCACACGTGAGCATCATCGAAATATCGCTGGTTGATTTTTTCTCATGTTGGAGTTGCTCTGAACACGTTTATCACGTTACTCATGCCTCTTAGTTCTGGGATGAGTTACGAGGAAAGGCTGCGGGAATGCACCTCACGACACTGGAAGACAGAAGAGTAAGGGGAGACATGATCACTATCTACAAAATTCTCAGAGGAATTGACAGGGTAGATAAAGATAAACTGTTTAACATGGGTGGTACGCGAACAAGGGGACACAGTGGAAACTGAGCACCCAAATGAGCCACAGGGACGTTAGAAAGAACTTTTTCAATGTCAGAGTAGTTAACAGCAAGTAACAGTAGTTAACAAGTAACTGTTAAATACAGTTACTTGCTTCTTCCCGAAACACTATGTGTGTTAGTGGCTTTGCAAGAATGTATAAATATCAATGTTATGTATTTACATAACAGTGTGAAATGTTAGCGGAGCCCGTTATGTGACTAACTCTTCACGCTAACGCCCGTAGGATGGGTATGGGGTGTATAATAAAGGAACTAAACTTAACAGTTTTCTCACTAAGCTTTCTTGTGAGATTTTTGTTTTAACAAATATAGGTACAGTATTAATAGATCAGGTTGATTATTCTTATTCTATGATTATTATTTTATGACTTTATGATTAACATAGATCAGGTATTCTAAAGAATATGACATTGATCAGGTATTCTAACGGATACCAGATCAACCAGGCTGGGAACAGCCGCGTCCAACATCCTGGTTGAATAGACGACCAACCGGAAGGCCTGGTCGGAGACCGGGCCGTGAGTCCGTTGATCCCCGGAAGCTACACAAGTTAGGTAGGTTCATACATTTCTACAGCTACCCTTGACGATGTGAAGGGTTACATAGTTTGCATGACTTACATATTCTAGGTTAAGGATGACCCAGCTAGCGAGTGGTCACACTGTGGAGGTGTTGGAGGGGGAGGAGCTGGAGCACCAGGAGCGTGACTTCCAAGGTTATACCAATGGCCTTATCCGCCTCAACCCCGGCAGGTGGCTATACCCGGCTGACTACACCAAATTTGCCGACAGCCTCTTCAAGTTCAAGGTGGGAAATTAGTCTTAATGGGGGGACTGAAAAATGTGACCAATATATATCTATAGACTACTTCAATTATTTTTTCTTCTGTGCATTAAGCGGGTATTTCAACACATTTAGCTTGTATTTTATACAAGAATATGATAATTTACAGTTCTATAACTGTAAACACAGGTACGGTTCATTATCAAAGATCTGAACTAGGTACATAGTTTAACCTAGCTCTAGAAATATTGTAAAAGTCAATTATCAATTGTTCTGATACTCTCAACAAAGTAGTTGTATAATACAAGTATAATGTATGGGCAATATGCAAAGAAAATATTATATGCAACAAAATAAACCAAATTGATAATTTAAGATTAATGGATATGGCAATTAAATTCATGACGAGTTATACTAAAGAATTATATATTCAAGATATAGATATTCAGATTTACATGAATATACAGCAATAAGAGATTCAGTCACTGAAGAAAGTAAATCAACTCACTAATTGGTGAGGCGTTGCCTCCTTGCTGCCTAACGACTCTCAATTTATATATGGATGTATTAAGGTCATAAAGCATACTAGTGGCCACTCTACTCTCTAAAAAAAAATAACTAATTCTCAAACTGAGAACCGGAGCCTAATCTGGCAAGTTGTCAGCTGATATTTCTCTTGTTGAAACGAGGCTCTATATTTTGATCCTTAGAAGGTAATGGAGTGAGGAAGAACTTTGACATCTCCAAGAACCAAACTCGTTTTCAAAATATGCAAAGTTAATAATGTTGCACTTTTAACTCTCGAAAGGATATAAATTACAAGAATTCTGTTAAATCTTTACTTTAATCACGAGGAATTCATAAAATATAAAACATAATTAAGTGATTGTTAAAAGATAATTTAAAACAATTTATCATTCTACAAGGTGGATTCTCTTATAAAACGGGAATACTGTAAGGATAAGCCTCAGTGGCGAGTTAGCCTAGCACCACAACAAAACTTATACTATGGTTGATTCACGTTGAGTATTTGAAGGCAGCGCCGAAGTCATGGGTGTGCTCCTTGGTCCACTGGTCAACTTTTGCTTGTTGTTCAGGACTGAGACGCTTCTGGCCATCTCCAATCACACCTGATGAACACAAAGTTTAGGCATTTTTAAGTCCAAGGTAACGATACATAAACACTTTACGAGTCTTTCACTCTTAAAACCAACTTTACAACATTGATTTAGTAACCAACTCTTAATCAAACTGACAATTATTAACACGAGTTTTTCCGTAACTCATAAGCTTTTGAAAATAATTCTATTGAACCTTTGTGATTGTTAAAAATAATTCAGATATAAAATTATTAAAATAACGTCTAACATAAATTATTAAAGAACGTAAAATAATGAGTAAAGCTTTAGTTATTAGAAATTTACTAATTTTGCGTTCAAAGCTAAAAACCTTATTGTGATTAACGACCATTCCAACCACCTTGCATTTTCCAAGAAGAATTAGAGCAAAGGTCAGACCATAAAATTAACAGTGTCATGGTGTATTAGGGAAAGCTAAATACATTCAAAGATTCTCCAATACTCAGACCGTTAAATAAATTAACTTTAATGATCCATGACGGACCGAAACGTCATTTCTTCATTCTCTGGTGCGTGGTTTGGTCATTGTCATTATATGTATAAATTTAAGGGAAAAGATTTTATGCATTTTACCTCGTGACAGTTATCACGTGTAATCAACCAATCTAATTTATTGCTTGCTTACACGAACTCTATAAAATTATTTCAGAACTCATTACATTACTTTATTGTGAGAAAATATTAATTTCCCTCATGCATTTGCAAATAATTCTGCCCATCCTAATATTTTGGTAATACTTATAGTAACGATGAGGACCATAGTACATATACCGACGTACAACAAAATTAGAAAGTAGAAATCTGAACTATTGAGTTGGACAAACCGGAAAACTATTTTTTACTTTTGTTGCTTTGGCAAACCTAACCTAACCTTCCTAGGCTTAAAACACGATATCTGAGGCCTAGTATAGTACATTTTTTTTTTTTTTTTTTTTTTTTTTTTTTTTTTTTTTTTAGATATATACAAGAGTTGTTACATTCTTGTACAGCCACTAGTACGCGTAGCGTTTCGGGCAGGTCCCTGGAATACGATCCCCTGCCGCGAACAACATGAAAAACACTTGGAAAACTATCTCTAGTATCCTAGGAACTAAACAACCCTCACATAACCAAATAAAACTCTACAAGGATGGGGATATACCGTCAACTGATTTAGAAATGGCAAATGAATTTAATAGTTTCTTTTCATCGGTTGGTGCCAATCTTGCCAGTAAAATCCCACAGACTCAGACACATATTAACACATATCTCTCAGGCAGCTATCCAAACTCTCTTCTCCTTTCACCAATCAGCCCGGCAGATGTTGTGTCCATCATACACTCTCTAAAAACCAAGGCAGGGAACACCAGTGAAATTCCGTCCATTGTGTACAAGAGAGCCTCCCATGCCCTTGCCCCACCCATAGCACTACTGTTCAACAAATCTATAGAGTGTCACACCTTCCCTGATATCCTCAAAAAAGCAAGAGTAACGCCAGTCCATAAAGGAGGCAATCCGGCGGACATAAACAATTATAGACCAATATCAAATCTACCCATTCTATCAAAAATATTTGAAAAAATCATTTACAAACAGCTCTATTCCTACCTCGTAAAATTCGACATACTCAGCCCCTGCCAGTTTGGCTTCCGGTCCCAAAAGAGTACCAATGATGCAATCATTAGTCTCCTTGACATTATCTACTCAGCCCTTGACAAAAATGAGTTTCCGATTGGACTCTTCATTGACCTAAGAAAAGCCTTTGATACTGTTAATCACAACTACCTCTTACTTAAACTCCAGCATTATGGAATCCGAGGCCTTGCCCTTGACTACATCCGATCCTATCTTAGTGACAGACACCAATATGTAACCATCAATGATACAACTTCTTCCACTCTACCAATTACCGTTGGAGTGCCACAGGGCAGCATCTTAGGACCTCTTCTATTTCTTATATATATAAACGATCTGCCTAATGTCTCTAATATTCTCAAACCTATATTGTTTGCTGACGATACTACCCTTATCTACTCAAACCTCAACCCACATACACTAAATAATGTTGTGAATAATGAATTAAAAAAAGTCCACTTATGGATGTCAACGAACAAACTAACATTAAACATCGAAAAGACTTACTACATCTTATTTGGAAGCAAATCATCAAATGCAATTCAGCTACAGATAGACAACATTAACATCAGTAATAAAAATGATGGCAAGTTTCTTG